ATTTTTGGTCTTTTTGAGGCAGGGTCTCCCTGTAGCCCCAGCTGTCCTGGATTCACTATGAAGACCAGGCTGGCCTCGAACTCAGAGAGATCCGCCTGCCTCGTGCGCCACCACGCCAGGCTCAAAATGTTATTTTTAAAAACATTACAAAAGAAATTTCATTTGCAGTAAATAAACTTTAAAATAAATTCTTCAGTCAAGTTAGAAAGGCAGTGAAAATTTACACGAGAAGTTTAGCTCTTCTGCAAAACGCACTGCAGTATTGGAGAGGAGTCAAACAAGGTGGGGACTGTTTCACTAATGCAGCTCTTCACACAACCAGGCTCCATTCATTTACACTGGGAATGGCAGTGCAGCTGGTCACTGTGTAGGACTGGGGAAGGGGCAGGCAGACAGTGTTGAAAGGAGTATGTGTGGAGAAATGTTTAAAACAAAAAGAAAAGAGGAAAGTTATGTCCTTTTCCAGTTCGGGCTGATATTACACATTCTATTCAGTTCTTGTTCTCTACACTCAACTGGCCTGAAAGCAAAAACCAAACACTGATGAAAATGTCCAATGCAAAGACTGGCAATTCAATTACTGCCTTAAGAATAAACACTGATCATGACACAAGCAAGATAAACAATGGCATCTCTGATGACATAATGTTCATGAGAGAGAGACACACACAGCGAGGTCCCTGGGTGAGACTCTCGTTGTTTCTACAATCAACCACTTACCCTGTGAGGCGGCCCTGTTCCAGTGCAGCAAAGCTCTGGGGTAGGTTTCATTCTCACCTACAATGGTCGCTTCTCCTACAGGAAAAGAAGTGAAACAAAAGTCAGAATATTTAAGGAGAGATGCTGAGACTTTCTGGTTTCATTTGCAAGCTAAGGTATGTGGACCCAATAAACATTCAACTAGCAAGTACTGAAATTAAGTATTAGAACAAAACACTGGGCTCAAAAGAATCATTTGACTCAGGACAGTGCCACTCTCTGGAACATTTTTTATCCATGGTTCCGATACTGAGAGTAGTCACTGAGCTACTTCTAGGGACCTAGGGTTGGAAAATGGTGGTTTTGTGTATGCATTCTGTTTTGAGAACTGTTTTTGCTGACTGCAGTTAAACCCACGGCAGGCCTGAAGCGGGCCTTACTCTGATCAAGGATGAAGGCTGCATTGCTTTGTGCCACTTCATAGCCCTGTTCAGCCAGCAGGAGGTACTGGATTACTGCAGCATTGTAGTCACCGTCTTTATAGCTGTTATAGGCAGTCATAAGCCTCTCAGACCAACGACCTCGCTCACACACATTCTTAAACAACTGTGAGAAGAGAAAAAAAGGATATATACATACACACACACATATACATACATATGCTAGAAACAAGTCTTGCATCTTGGTTATAGCACTGTTAAGTTTGCTCTATGACTTGCTAGTAACTTGCTTTCTCTTACTATTTAGAAGTAAACACACATAAAAATAAGAGAAATTACTTACTATTTACTGTGGCCAAGTGCTATTCTAGTGATTTATATATATTATAGATATTAACACATTATCTTACATGAGGGGCTGCTGTCCATGAGGTGGGGGCGATTAATTGCCCAATTTTACAAGTGAAGATTTTCTGACGAGCATTTATCACTATCCCTCCAGAGTAGGTATGAGAGTGCTAGAGGACAATTTCCAGCTAGGAGAGAGAAGCATGGCTGCTTGGAGCACTCCCTCAACGTACTCTTTATTTTGACACCATGTATCAAATACTGTCAAAGATGCCAGGGAGGCTGCAGATGCCAACGCCTGCTCTGACAATCTTTGCTTCTAACAGGGACAGAAAGCAAGGGCAACAAGTAGCCACAGATCCCAGTTTCTTCCCTCACTAGATCACTGCTGATAGGCCGAGTCATCTTCCAATGTGGAAGAAATCACGTAAAGAAAACTAGAAGTGCAAGCTTCTCTACTGGGAAAATCCAGTTCCTACGTGTAAGCCGGCAGAAAAGCCCTTACCTCCACCGCAGTATGACAGGATCGCATCACCCCTGTGCCGCTGGCATGCATCTGCGCTAGGTTATAGAAAGCCAAGATATGACCTCCTTGGGAAGCTAAATTAAAATACTTCAAGGCCTGTTTATAATCTCTCTTGACTCCAATGCCATCTGAAGAAAAAACCCAAACACACGAGGTGAGTACAGTCTTTAATAGGAATCAGTTAAGCATCGGAAAAATGTTCTTTGTAAGGGATAAAACCAGTGGAAGCCAGAGTATTCAGTAAAATACACCAATGAAAGTTAATAAATTAATGTAGCTTAATAATTCTCAAATTAATCCACTTTATAACAAAAACAAGATGCACAAGTAACTGAACTGAGTCTTAATCTGCCAGAGTTGAGTATCTCCCATTTCTATATCATAGTGCCACCTAGTGGAAATACATTAGTTTAGATCTTGGAATATTCGCCATGAATTCCACAGTCACTTACTATAGTACATTGAACCAAGCTGGAGCTGCCCATCCACCCAGCCTTGTTCAGCAGCTTTCTGGAAATACTTCAATGCCAGGTCATAATTCTGTAGAAAAATACATCAAATAGTAAGAAAGCACCGAAGGCTGATAGACTCAGGAGTCTGAGATTCATTCATTAAAAGGAATGAACAAAGGACACACATTGTTGAAAACCATTTTAAAAGGACCACCTTCTAATTTAATAAAAACAAACACAGCTGTTAAGACTTCAGGTTGGAGGAGGAGTTTCAGCCTATGAGGAAAAGCAAATAAGAGTTTTATGAGACAACCTATATGCTCACTCTTAGAACACTAGAAATTAAGAAATACTCTTTTTTTTTTACTAATCAACTAACTCCTTTAAAATCAATTTTCCTAATATTAACTATGGAGCATTATTTTCTCCTTACTTGCTTCCTCCCTGTGCATCTTACCAAACACAATGTGTTTATGTTTCAAAGGTCATATGTAAGCACAGAGAAGACATAAAACACAAATTATTCTGAATTTTGGTATCCTAAAATGACCAGGAGTCAAAGTGACAACATATTATCATATTTACATTAGGGAATAAACTATCAGTCAGACTTTTAAGCCTGGCTCAGTTTCAGTCTCAAATTAAAAGAACACATTGCTTGGTGAGATCATCTGAAACAACATTATGGTTGAGGGGCATCTACCATAGGACAGTGGCCAAGGACACCAAGAGCTTGCAGACACAACACTGACATTTAGGAGGTTACTGGTGACCTGGACAGAGAGAGCAGCTGTATGAGTCAGAAACCTGACAACTGAGAACTGAAAAAAAAAGGCTTACTAAAGTCCCTTCTTTGGAGAAACGTGGCTTTGCAGTGAAGGACTAGAGAAGAGAGGCGGTAGCTAGAAGGAGCAAAGGGCAGAGGGAAAGCTCCTTCCAGATGAAAGAGACGGGGGTGTTTTCCTGGGCTGGAGTAAAGAAGCAGGCAAGGAAGATGTTAGTCCTGGAGAAACAGGAAGAGGAAGGGGTGTAGGAAGCAGAGTGAAGAAACAACTCTACCCCTTAGATGATCCGAGATGCAGCTGGCCTAAGAAGGCAGTTGTCATGGAGGTGGGGGCGGGGGGTACAAGATGGCAACTCAAGAGACAGCAGGAAGGGCTCAGCTTTGGTTACAATGGAGTGTGAAGTGGGCAGCTAGTCAAGGAATGCCTCCCATCCTCATTGGCTGTTTACTAGACTCAGGATGCCAGACTGCACACTTACAACTTGAACTCCTCTCCCGTAGAGGTAGGCCATTCCAAGCCCGCTCTGTCCAACTGGGTTGCCCTGCAAACCAGAAAAATCAGACAGAAAGGAACTCATTAAAAAATAGGCAAGGATAAATGACTGCAGAAGAAATAACTTAAAGCATATTAAACATGTTTTTTATTAGCTTTCAATTCAAAATGAAACTTTCCTTTTTTCCATCAGACTAAACCCAATTTGTCTTTTAGATACTCGAGAGTTGTAATTTGCATTCAAAGATTAAACAACAAATGCATTTAGTATCAATTTCAGTGACCTGTTTTTATGACTACCAGTATCATGAATTTATGATACAAAACGTAAGTAACATATTTCAACAAATTAGAAGCGGGTCACATTTTGCAGGTACTTTTCATTGCTTGTGCCCTGTCCTAATCAAGGAGGAAGGATGGAGCCACGGCACAGTCAACAGTCATGTAATACAGCCACACTGCTACCAGATGGCAGAGACACTAGGATCAATGGGACTGTCATGGAGCAAGAAAAAGCCGGTATTTTGAGAGGGAAAACAGAAAATTCTAGAATTCACCCAAACTTACAGGGATAGGAGACATCTTTAAAAAAATTGTTATAATATCTCCCAGGGGGACACTTAGATGACATCTGGAAACAGTAACTTGGAGGTGGCAAAGAGGTCAGTGTGCACACTGGAGCATACAGAGCTTTAAGATGCACACACAGTTTATTCTGGGTCAGAGAAACCCAAGATTAAGTTAATGGTTACCATCAGAACCAGATTAGGCAGGCTTTTAAACTCAAGTTGTAGTACAAATGAGGTAGATCATGTAACTCCCAGTTTCACTGCTAAAAATCAGTTTTTCCTTGATTAGGAAACACTGAAAAGAAATTTAAATATAGTGAATATTCAACCATATAGTTCCTAAAACAGAAACAGCTTTTATTGGCAAGGCTTTGTTTGGTCAACCCATTAGGCATACATAAGCACTTTCAATAACTTATGGCATAAGTTGGTTATAATTAATCCTTCAATAGTACATTTACTAAATACTAGTAGTGTGACCCACAGGTCAGTCCCAGGCCAGGCAGTCTTACCATGTCAGCAGCTTTCTTGAAGTAGTGAAGAGCTGTCTCATTGCTCTGAGGCACGATGTCACTCCCCTCAGAATACATCTGGAAACAGACCCCAATTTCATTCTCTCCAGTTACATTTTTTTCCCGTCTTGAAATCATCTCATATAGTTTAGAATTTTCCACAGGATATTGTAGAACTTAAGGCAAACATTTATTACCAAACATTGCTTTTTTAAAAAAATATTTATTATTTTTATTTTATGTATACAAGTGTTACGCCTGCATGTAGGTAAGTGCACCTGTGTCATGCAATGCCTGCAGAGGACAGAAGAGGCTGTTGGAGTTACAGACAGTTGTTAGCTGCCATATATGTGCTGGGATTCGAACCCGGGTCTTCTGCAAGACCAGTCAGTGTTCTTAACTGCTGAGCCACCTCTCCAGCCCCTATTACCAAACATTTTATGTATTTGGTTTTTTTTCCTTTTATTGAGACAGGGTCTCCCTGTAGCCACAGCTGGCTTGGAACTCATTATGTAGACCTGACTGCCCTCAATCTCACAGAGATCTACCTGCTTCTGTCTTCTGAGTACTGGGATTAAAGGTGTGTGCCATCATGCCCAGCTATAATTTATGTATTTGATTTCTACTAAATTTATAATTTACCTATAAATATGAATATATAATGCTTAATGACTACCTCAAGAAATCCTAAAAAATTTTTATTACATTTATTTATCTGTGTGTGTGTGTGTGTGTGTGTGTGTGTGCGTGTGTGTGTATGTGTGGGCATGCATATGCCACGGTATGTGTGTAGAGGTCAGAGGACAACTTGGTTCTCTCTATTCACTCTGTGGGTCCTGGTGATCTACTTTACCAGATAAGCCATTTCACCAGCCTAAAGATAATAAGACTTTAACCCCCGGGTGAATCACTTTTTCACTTTGTCCAGGGCAATCAAATAGCTAATAATTTGGTTGGGGACAGACAATCGAGCCCATGAGGACAAGCAGGCTGTCAGTCACAATGTCTCCTTAACTTCCATTTACCAGGCTGTCCCCAGAATTGGGTCAATGGTGGCTTTCAGGTCAACAAATAACTAAAAGGTGGGTGGGGAAATGGCTCAGTAGGAAAACGCTTGCACAAGGACCCAAGTTTGAACCCCAGAACCGAAGTATGAAGAAAGATGGGTATGGTGGTATATACTTGCAATCCCAATGCTAGAGAGGCAGAGACGGATAGATCCCTGGGGCTAGATGGCCAGCCAGTGGGGCCTGCTTGGTGAGTTCCAGGCTGGTGAGAGACCCTGTCTCAAAAATAAGGTGGCTGGTACTTGATGAATAATACCTGAGGTTTTTTTCTAGCTTCCACAAACAGGCACACACATTTGTATGCATGTGCACACACAAAACCAACAAATAACCAAGAGGTTATTTAACAAGGTTTAAGACTTGAATCAATTACAGTATCAGATATGAGCCAAGAAGAAAGGAAAACAGAACGGCCAATGCTGCTTTTCATTCATGAACATATACAATTGTTTTTAGACAATGATTAATTAGTAAATCAAGGCAAAAGTCAAAATGCTAGAGGACAAAGATTTAAGTACTTAAACAAACACAGGAATACCAATGCCTGCGCTATCATGTTGGAAGGCTGATAAACTCACTACCATACCACCAGCACCACACTACCTATGCTACAGTTCTGCAATGTTTGAACATAAAATTCCAGGTCCCAAGTAACTAGGTGTGATTATGTGGCAAATAGTGATGAGGCGTTCTTGTTTATTTATTTTGGTCTTTTTGAGACAGCGTCTCTCTGTAGCCCCAGCTGGCCTGGAACTCACTATGTAGACCAGGCTGGCCTTGAACTCACAGAGATCCGCCTGCCTCTGCCTCCTGAGTGCTGGGATTAAAGGCATGCACTACCACACCCGGCTTATCTTTATCCTTAAAGAGTCCATCTAAACTTCCTTAAATTTCTCATTACTATACATAAGACATATAGTATTAGGAGCTTAAGATAGTGACCACTAACTTCAGTGAAGAATTAACCTACTTATGAAAATGCTATGCTGTGTTTAAGTTGCCCTGAGAAAGTGCCCCAAGACCTTAAGATAAGATGTAATACCGTAGCACTGGAAATTTGATTTTGCTGTTACACAACAGAGTTACACGGCACACAGTACCTTTCCCAGGAAGGCCATAGCATGTGAATTCCCAGCATTTGCTGCTAAAGTGAAATAGTCAAATGCTCTCTGCAAGACAAGAATTTGTGGAAGTAATTAGTTTTCAATGGCATTTGTTTTAGTTAAAACACTTTTTCAGAAACATAAAAATAATCTTATTAAAGTTGGTTTAAAAACAAGAATATCCAGTTATCAATTTCCAAAACAGAAATGTGTACATCCAGAAGTTTTATTTTGTCTGGTAGCTAAACCAGGGTACCATTATCTTTAAGTCATTTTACAGTTATAACCACAAAGATATTTCTGATTGTCCCTAACTTCAGAGCTAAGAAGATGTATTATTTACAGTCAAATGTGAGCGAGCTTCCCATGGCTTAGAAGACATCTCATAGCAGCTCAAACTCACCTGTTTATGGTATACTGGGAGAAAAGAAGAAACTAAGAAGGACTCACAAGGCAAAGGCATATTTAGGGATACAATTTCCTTCTGTATTTAGAGAAAGGTTTCTGGTTGTACACAGTCATATAACTAAACTTCACTGGCATCAGTGGAAATTCATTACTGTCACCTATGATACTATGCATTTTTGTTAAGGGTCTTGTATCACGGGTTATTGCTTGCGTCCCCTGCTGATTTAGTCTACCTTTCATCCTTTCTGATCTTTTCTCCATTAAGTACATTCTAGTAACTTATTATTAAAAAATAGTACCAAAATATACAAAAATGCCTTTTTTCTTCAGAGCCCCAGTTCCTCTAACAGACTGCTATCCATGAGCTGCTAACCTTCACAGCTACACTGCTCCACAAATCTCTACAGGGCTCTACCCCACTCTATAAGTTTAAATGGCTTCCATCAACAACTTCAGATCATTAAGCCACCAATGACTTTCACGTGGTCAGTGAAAATCTCTCATCTAACAGCACCTCTCTGAAGCATCTGATGCAGTCTCTGTACTCTGGAGACACTCCTTAGCTTGGCTTCACTTGTCATCCTGTGCTGTTTTCCTTCCTAACTACCTGTACCATCCTATTCTACCAGCTGACCTCTAAACATTTACATTCTTCAGGGCTTAACTCCTGACCCAATTCTCACTTTACAGTCTCTAAACAATCTTACCCACTCCACGGCTTCCCATAACACCTAGCTGATGAGAACTCCTAAATTTATATTTTGAGCTCCAAACTAGTCTATTTAACTACCTCTGAATACTTCATCTACTGCTTGAACATATACCTGAAACCTCTCCTTGACCCCAACTGCTTTTGCTCCAGGACCTCAGTTGAAGTAGGTGATGTCTAACATCTACTGGCTGTTCGAGGTATTCTCTTTCCTTTGTTCTCATATCCAGTGAATTATAGAACTCACAAAATACATGTTCAATCCATCCACTAACTGCTAGGACCACAGCTCTAGCCCATACTATGTTCTCTCTCACAGGAGCTCTGGAATATTCACTCCCCTCTCTGGTCTCCCCATTTCTAATTTGGGACTCTTCTGATGTACGCTCCATGCTGCAGCAAAAGTCAGTGTTTCAAAACTGGAGCATGCTGGCCAGGAGTCCCCTGAAGTATGAGGGATAATCCCACATGCCCAGGCACTGTCTGTCTCAGCACATTATGTCCTATGCTGTCTGTATATGGCATAACAGTTGTGCCCTTCCTGTCCCAGAACCTTGACAGATATTGTCCCTTTGTCTTTGAAAGACCCTTCCTCCAGTGTAATGTCATCCACTTCTCCTTAAAGCAGTCTTCCTTGACAGCTGGTATCTTACCCCTTCCATTACCCAATTTTTATACTCTTTGTATAATTCTTCTTTGTAACAGTAATCACAACTTTAAAATGCTTATTATTATTTTATATAACTATTTAAAAAATGCTTCTACTGAACCTGAAACTCCATTAAGGGCAACAACTGTCCAGTGCTGTATCTTGAAAACCTAACAGTGACAGGCATATAGTAAGAACAGAAATATTTGTTGATTTAATGCAACTGTGTACTTTCATTAGTGAAACAATTTACCACTGTGCAGCTGCTCTACAGATAGGCAGCATATCAGACAAAAGCTTCCCCGTGTCTGTTACGACAAAGATTTGTAGCAAACTCTTATTTGGAATTCTGTCCTCTCACCAAACATTTTTTATCAAGTAGCTGGTTCAGGGCACACATTTTAGTGACCTAGAGACAGTGAAAGCTGCCTAAGGTGCCCAAATAAAGGGCACCCTAGATACTCAGCATAGTTTTAGTGGTAGTTGTATTTTTGTGACAATTTAACTTTTTTTTTTTTTTTTTTTTTTTTTTTTTTTTTTACTTTTAGAGCTGAAGGGATATAGTAATGAAATAACCTTACTTGGCATAGTTAACTGGCATGTAGCAAGGTAAGTTTTATGACTGACAAACATTTATTGAGACATGCACTTGCACACGTGGTATGCATGCACATACTCATACACATGTGCACTCACACAGGCAATGAAATCATTGCTCTTCTGAGGTCTATTCACATGCCAACGAACAGTGAGGTGGATGTGCAGGCTCACCCGTCACAGGTGTCTCACTAAGCCTGACTACCAAAGAATGAACGTGAAGCAACATTTCTTGCTACAGTGAGTGTGAAGCTAGCACAAGGTGGTTACCTGGTGATTCTGTTCCACTCCACGCCCTCCGTGAAGATGTAACTGTCCTAGACCAACCTGAAAAAACAAAAACGATGCAGAAGTGAAGGCTAGAACTTGGCACACAGTTAAAATCAGACCGATAGGAAACTGGTGGAAAAGGGCTGTGTTCATTACTCAAAGACTACAAGATTAATTTTCAATCCTGATTACATTATTCTACTTTAATTAATCTAATACTGGGAAGAACTAAAAAGCTACGTTTAAAATCACAAGTATCCTTCTGAAATGGGGGTAATATAAAAAGCACTTTTGTGTGTGTGTATGTGTGGTCTGTGTTCACGTACGTATGTTTGAATGCATGTAGGTAGATGTGTGTGTGAGTGCACGTGTATGTGCATGCATATGGAGACCTGAGGTTGCCTTCAGGATTTTCCCTTGACTGTTTTCTATTTAACTCACTGAGGTAGGGTCTCTCAATTGAACCCAGAGGCCACCAATCACACTAGTTAGGTAGCCAGCTTGCTCTGGGGATCCTTTCTGAGCAGTAGAATTACAGCTAGGCAGCCACATTCACCCAGTATTTATGTGGGTTCTGGGAATCTGAACTGTGACCCGCAAGCTTATGCAACAAACACTTTACTCACTGAACCAGTCCTCCCCTCCTCCACTCCCCAATGAATGTGATCTAAAGGAAATAAAGGATGCTCTTAGGGCAACAAGATGATTATCTGAGAAGCTTAACAATGAAGCAAGACATAAAAAGGAAACAAAAGACAAATTGTGAATTAATTTAAATTAATATGTACAAAAAAAAAAAAAAGAGTTGGGAAAGAACTCTTCCTCTGCACCTGGGTCCAGAAAAAAAAAATTAAAATGTACTGTACAAAACAAAAATGTTGTAAAGTTAAAAAAATACACAGAATTAACCCACTCACAGCTTATTCTGAGGTCTCTGTGTTGTTCTAGGGATGGCAAAAGTGCTCACCCTCACTATATCTAATAGGCAGAGGTATGTGTGGCAATCTCTAGGTAAACACCAATACCCAAGTGTCAAGCTACTGGAGAAGGAGAGGCAATAGCAGAAAGCACCCAAGACACAAGGTCAAGAAAGCAGAGAAAAGGGACCATGGAAAAGTACAGTAAGCAGAAAGCAAGTGAGAGAATGTAAACCACAGGACAGCCTTAATGTGAAAGGAGAACACTTAATTGGACAGGCTGATTTTATTCCAAGTTCTGTGAGTTAATATTTGGATCTACTCTTCCCTGTAGTTTTCCCCCTCTGTGAGCCCTAAAACTGCTCTTAGTACCTATTGCTTATTTCTATATACCCTAATGTAAAAACAACAGCAATCTTTTAAAATGTTTACTTTTTTTTTTCCTGGTCTTTTTGAGACAGGGTCTCCCTGTAGCCTCAGCTATCCTGGAACTCACTATGTAGACCAGGCTGGCCTTGAACTCACAGAGATCTGCCTGCCTCTCCCTCCCAAGTGCTGGGATTAAAGGCGTGCACCACCATGCCCGGCTAAAATGTTTACTTATTTTTAATTTACTTATTTATTTATCTTGTACGTATATGAGTGTTTTGCTTGCATGTAAGTGCACTATGTGCATACAATGCCCACAGAGGCCAAAAGATGGCATCAGATCCCCTGGAACTGGAGTTACAGATAGTTGTTAGCCACTGTGTGGGTTCTAGAAACTGGAACCAGGGTCCTCTGCAAGAGCAGCCAGTGCTCTTAACCCAACAACTACAATCTCAATAGAAAATAATATGTTGAGAGTGAGGCATTTTTTCTAAATGCCTCTCTGGTGACTCTAATTCGGAGCAAATAACTGCTCAGAGCAATGAGATGTTACAGATGTGAGTGCTGTCCCTCCCCAGATCAAAGTACACAATTCAGTGAAAAATTCCCAAAGATGCTGAAATGCACACCTGTGCTTGGACATCACCCTTCTCAGCTAGGAACTGGTAATACTGAATCAAATCTTCTTCCAGCATCCCACTGTTCATCCCTGGGTTTTCCACTTCATCAGGCAGCCGTATTCTCTGTACTACGGAACCTCCAGTTAGAGAGATATCACTAGCAACTGAAACAGAAGAACAAATAGGAATGTGAAGGCAGTCAGCAGACTGGCCCCAGAGAAGTGTAATTCTAGCTTCCAAATGTTGACAGACACAATGTTCAACGTACTGCTCTGTAGTAGCCTACAGGTTACAAAATAGCCATCTATTAATAAATCACTTTTTCTGCAAAAATGTTTAGAAAGTACAATGCAAAACAAAATATGAAAAGAAAGTATTTCTTAACAGAGTAGTTAAAAGATGAATCAACTCGAGAGCCATTCATGGCGGTTCAACTACTGCAACCAAAACATGTATTTAAAATTAATTCTTTTTTTCCCCCCTAGAAGGTCAAAGAGAGAAAAAAATAGCTACCATGATTGGCAACCAGGCGATAATGGGTCAGTGCTGACTCACAACTCTGGAGGACTCCAATGCCAGCCCAGTACCGGTAACCCTGTAAGACACCTCGAGTGAGTAGCCAGTAGTAGTACAGGTTCCTGTGGTGTTCTGAGACAAGCTAACCACATTCACAATGTAATTTTGCTGTCCTTTGATCCAATACTTCAACAAGCAGTCTATAGTTAATACTAGAAAATAAAATTCCTAGAATAATCAAGTAATTGCCATGAGCTTTTTGAAGCATGTGCAGGTTCGTGGTCCGAGTTTCATGCAGAAGCAATGCTCATCCTACTGCAGATACAGTCATAACAAAAATGAAGCTGTCTTCCCAATTAGCAAAGAAATGAAGCAGCAGAGGAAGGAATGTGAGACACTGGAAGCAGCACAAGTACACTAGCAACAAATGACCAGGGTAAGTGGGAAGCAGATGATTATAGAGCATCACACAGAGGGGAATGCTCTCTGGAATCAGTCTGCCCAGACTTCACCAACTGGCACTCTCTAGGGCATTACTGTTCAGTAACACATGTAACAATTATGATCTAATTCTATAGTCACTATTTAAGAAGGTTTGTAAACATAATTTAAAAAATTTTATTATTTTTATTTTATGTGTATGAGTGTGTTGCCTGTATGTATGTGAGTGCATCCGTGTCAGTGCAATGCTCAGGATGTCAGAAGAGGGCTTCAGATTTCCCTGGAACTGGAGTTAAGGAAGGTTTTTTTTTAGCCGCCATGTGGATGCTGGGAATCGAACCTGGGTCCTCTTGCAAGAGCAGTCAGTGCTCTTAACTGCTGAGCCATTTCTTCAGCCCTGGTAAACACAATTTTATTATTTATTTTTTAAAAAATTATTTATTTTTTATGTGTAGGACTGCTTTGTTGCATGTATATAAGTGCACCTGTGTTGTGCAAAGCTTTCAGAGGCCAGAAGAGGGCACTGGATCCCCTGGAACTGAAGTTAAGGAAAGTTGTTAGCTGCCACATGGGTGCTGGGAACCAGGCCTCAGTCCTCTGCAAGAGCAGCCAGAGCTCTTAACCACTGAGCCATCTCTCCAGTCCTGGAATCACAATTTAAAAAAGATTTCTTCCTATAAAATATTTAATATAAATTTGCCATACAAAAGTTAGTATTTTGGGCTGGAGAGATGGCTCAGCGGTTAAGAGCACTGACTGCTTTGCAGAGGACCCGGGTTCGATTCCCAGCACCCACATGGCAGCTATGAACCGTCCTTAACTCCAGTTCCAGGGAAATCTGAAGTTCTCTTCTGACCCCCTGACACGGGTGCACTCACGTACATGCAGGCAATACACTCATACACATAAAATAAAAATAAATAAGATATTTAAAAAAAAAAAAGTTAGTATTTCATATTTGTTAAAAATGTATCTAAAAGGACCTTTTCAGCCACGTTTGAGGTATGTTACCACAGACTAAAGAAAGAAAACATCAAATTAGGGAGAAATGTTTCAGAAACATCAGTATCTTTGCTCCTACTTGCCTCAACTCCTGCAGTGGCTGAACTGACAGGACAGAGTCCAAAGTCCTCGGCATGACTCAGCCATTCTGCTGGATTCCTGTCTGTCTGCCCTGTTTCTGAACTCCTGGGCATTCTACTCTTTTCTATGTGTCTGCATAAAAGTCTCTGGATCTTGATGATAATTATTTTTAATGCATATGGATATAGTTATTTACAATTTACCTAATTGGCTAGAAAACTACAGACTTTCCTTCCTAAAGGTTCATGTGCCATCTGGCTAGGCCTGTGGATCCTTCCCAGGTGCTGGACTGGTTTCTTGATTTCAGACTTTCCTTCCTAAAGGTTCATGTGCCATCTGGCCAGGCCTGTAGATCCTTCCCAGGTGCTGGACTGATTTCCTGTCTGTTCATTCTATTCCTTATGTTTCTGTAACAATGAACTTGTACTCATTTGAAACAGTCTCATGCATCAAAGGTCATGTGATTATCCTGAATCAGTGTACAAAGCGTAAATGGAAGCTTAAGCACCTCAGCCCAAAAAACAATTTGGTGGAAAGAGTCTATATTTATGACTAGGCTATGTGGGTATGCAATGCTATCAGGTAAGACAAAGATTCTCTTAAGTGTCCTTTACAGGATACAATTCTTTATACAGTAGGTCCTTCATCAATTTAAATATAGAAATAGATGATAATCCAATCCAAAAAAGAATTTTGATAATTTCAATTTAGATAAAATTTTTATTCACATGTAGATTCAGTGTGTTATATCCATTAATAAGAATCTGAAGGATACTCAACTGAATATTTGGTCTCACTCACATAGGTTGGGGAACTTATGGCTACTACAAACACAACTTTCCTCATTGTCTGACTGACCTGTACTTACCAAAACCATATGGGCTATCAGATTGCCACCAAGAGCTCCAAAAGTATAGTACACAAGAGCCTGTGAAGAAGACACACAAATGAACACGGTGCAGGGCTTCTGCATTCAAAATTTAACATGCAGTCTGGAATAAGGTTACCTTTGCCTGACTTGAATTAACACCAAGTCCAGAGGCGTAGAGAAAGCCAAGAGCCTGAAATAAAATCGGGAATGTAAAAAGTCTTTCTTTGCTGATGATACACACAGTTTTATACACTGAGAAGATGCAAGAATCTTTAGATACAAAAAGACTTGACTATAACTATGAATGATCGTAGAAGTGACACGTGCAGGCTTAACCAACTACACTAAGTGCAACTTTCAACAGATCATTGAGTTCACTTAGAAAGTTTAATGATACTTTAATAAAATATTAAATATTAACTTATTAACTAGAAAAACAAAGCTTAATACATTTAAACATAGCTTGGACTTTATCTTTATGAATAGTCATTATGAAGACAAAAGTAACTGTCATACCATTATAGCAACATACTCTGCACAGACAGGGATGAAAAGGGACAAGAGAGTCCCAAGATAACTGATCTCAGGAATAAAGAGGCAGCAAGTAGTCAGGAAGGTTCTCTTGCAGTGCTATAGCACACATGGGCTCCTAGAAAACTACCACTGAAGGACAGACACACTCATAAGGCTTGACCCTGTGAGAACACTAGTGTCCACCAGTCTGTGAGTTTCTCTACTTTTTACCCTCCCTTGTAGGGAGGACTACGAGCCTAGAGTGGCAATAAAGGAGGTGAGCTGCTGCCCAGAAGTCACCACTTGGAAGAATTGATACAGAAAGGAGAAATCTAATCTGGCACAAGCAAGAGAGATCTCTTATCATACCAAGCTTTGCTTACTACATGAACTAGCATTAATTACTATGGAAGGAATGCTTTGTAGGGCATGATAGCTGCAACACTGTAGAGATGGATTATTATAAGAAAATGCTGCCTTATTGTACAGGGACATCAATGCCTCAGAAGATAATGTATGCGTAAGCATAACCTGGTCTAAGGGGAAAAAAGCTTTGAAAAGAACATTTTATTTATTACTTTTATTTTATGTGTATAAGTGTACTGTCTGCATGTATGTGAGTGCACCCGTGTCATGCAGTGCTCGCAGAGGCCAGAAGAGTTTCAGGTTCCGTGGAAGAATGGTCAGTACTCTTAACCTCTTAGCCATCTCTCCAGTCCCCAGAAGAAAGGTGAGCACTAAGATATAATCTGTTTATAACTAAACAATGAGAATATGAAAGACTTGTAGACTCATTAAGTACTCATGAAGATGATGGGTGTGAGTCCTGTTACTATGTGAAGCCTGGGAACGACTTTCTTCATACAGCTTCGTCCTATCGCTGTTGGGAAGGAAACAGGTATTGTTTTTGTGGGTTGCAGAAATGTAAATTATCATGGTACTTTAGAGGAAAATGTATCATAAAAATAATTTTACAGACAGGCTTGGTAGCATACACATTGAATACCAGTAGTCGGGAGGCAGAGACAGGCGGATCTCTATGAGATCAAGGACAGTCTGGTCTACATAGTGAATTTTAAGCCAGTTGGGGCTATAGGAAGACCCTGTCTCAAATAAAACCAAATTCAATTCCTCCAAACAAAAACACAAAACCAAAACCAAATAACAAAAATTCACTAATATGTATGTATAGCAATATAAAAAAAGAACTTCCTTTATGACAATAAATTTTATTTTTAAGCAAATCTCCTATTTTCATTAAACTTGAATTATTGAAGGCAATTTAAATAAATAAGATGGCCTCTTAAGTTTACTAAGCATCAATCTTTGCATTACTTATATTATCGATAACATAACTAGATGATACTGAAAATTTCCTCTAATGTAGTCCAAGCTAAAAACAGTTACTTGAGTTTATCATCCTTTAGTTGACAATGCAAACAGAGGCAGGACACTCTGTAGAAAAAAGGGACCTGTTTTTAACACAGAAACAAACCAGCAAAGGCCTATGTTAGAAATAACAATTAAATTGTAGTTCTGGGCTGGGCACTTGCTTGGACAAAAATCAGTGTAAAGAAAAAATTTTACCTCAACACTGAAAATATTTGGGATTATGATGTAAAAACTCACTAGAACGGAAAGGTGAAGCTGATAACTGAGAGTAGCAAGTCATGGACTGTGGGTAGCAACACTTTAATAAAAAATTACTGTGTTCATATACACAAAAAGAAGGGCCTGCCCACAGCGTGCAGGAGGCAGAGGAAGGTGGGTGTCTGTATGATCAAGGCCAGCCTGGTCTACATAGTGAGTTCCAAGTCAGCTGGGGCTACAGGGAGACCCTGTCTCAAAAAGACTAAATAAATAAATAAATAAACAAACAAATCTTTAAAATGACTCAAGTGGTTAACTATTGGACCATTAAATAAAGCAGAAAATAGGACTGCAACCTAGACTGATGTCTAGGTTTGTGGTTCTGAGCTTGACTGTTGTTAGCTAGATTCCTTTGAAATTTGGAGAGCTATCTGATCATTTGAGAACTAAGGAAAATGGCCAGTAGAGAAAGGTGTTCTAGGATTATGACTAGTATGAAAAGATTGCAGCACTCCTGGATAAGGCAGCATCTCAGGAGGAATCTAGTATTCTCAGACAGTCTCTGGAAGCTAATAGGTTTGAGAAGAAACAATGGGATGTCACACCATCAGAGTCTTGGATAAATAAGTGACCTATATGAATTTCTAGGTATCTTACTGTCTTTATATATTTAAGACAGTCTTAATGTAGTCCAGGCTGGCCTCCAACTTGGTATGTAGCCAGGGACGACCTTGAACTTTGGGTCCTTCTGCTTCTAGGTCTTTGAGTACCAAATTACAGGCATGTGTCACTATGCCTGATTTATGCAGTACCCAGGGCTTCATCTATGCTAGGCGAACACTACCAACTGAGTTACATCCTCAACCCTTGTTATCTCTGTTTCATTTTTATTTTTAAACTTTATTAGTTCCCATTGTTTTTACACTAATTCTAAACTTGCTCAGTTAGTTTTGTAAATGAATAATATAGAAATCTCTCATTTCTCTCATCTCTTTTTTATCTGTTTGAGTTTTTTTGTTTGTTTTGAGGGTCTCACTCTGTCTTCGGGCTAGCCTGGAACTCACAGGGAGACCCTGTCTCAAAAAGACTAAATAAATAAATAAATGAATAAATAAATAAATATATAAAAAATTTAAAAATGTTTAAACAAAACAAAAGCAAGAACAAAAAAGGTCTAGAAAGGCAAGTAATACCTTACCACTGCTCAGGTCTGGGTGCTACATAGGTGGTGCTTGTTCTTTGGTTAGTTGTTCTAATTTCCTGTGTATACACGAGATGACTTGGTGGTTATGAACACTAGCTATTTTACAGAGGACCCAGGTTCCATTCCCAGCATCCACATGGTGGCTAACAACCATCCATAACTCCAGTTCCAGGGGATCTGATGCCCTCTTCTGACCTCTGTAGGCATTGCATGACACGGGTGCACTTACATACATGCAGGCAATACACTTATACACAAAAAATAAAATAAAAATAAAATATTTTTTAAAAAGCTATCAAGAGGAATAATTGCTACAGAATTTAGATTGGGGGGGAATGCAATGGTAATTTCAGATAAAAGAGAATTGCTGTTTTATAGCATTACTCTTTATATTTTACCCTCTATGGATTTAATACAGAAAACTAAAAATTAAATTGTGGCAAGATGTAGTTGTTATAAAATTATCTTCATTGACCATAAATGTTCTTAGACTAAGGAGAAGTAGTATTCAAGAAGATAAGTAAAATGGTCTGCCCCAAAATTAATATTTGAAGACATGTTGTCATCCAGTCTTCTATACTTGCTGAAAAAGTCAGGGCCTAGAGAATAAATTGCTACTAAAATTAACAAGTGCTATGTGCAGTCTCCATTGAAACTACACTTACAGTCTGTCCTTTTGGAGAGCCTTCCTCAGTCAGTTTCTCAAACATCTCTTTAGCTGCCTGGACATTCTGTGTGAGGTAATCACCGAACAAAAGAGCATAGGACACTCTCTCCAGGGCTTTGGTGTGGTTCATGCTTGCGGCCTTCTGAAGATACCGATACGCTCTTTAAACAGAAGCAGTTAGAAACCAGATCAGTAGTGCTCTAGAACTGCCATTAAAAACCCTACTAAAATGCAGCATAAACAATCTTATTTTATAATAAGAAATTTCCAGATATATCATGCTACCTATGATAGATACTTTCTATTCACGATGTAGAAAATATCCTGGATACTTTGATTTAGATGAGGCACCCGTTGCTCACTGATATCCTAATATCTTGGAATAGTCTACACTAACAATGACTCTAAAAACATCTAATGAAATGGTTAACAAAATCTAGAACAAATGGTAACAAAATTATAAAGATGGCAGGTAAATATTCCACCAACTCTTTTCTAACTCCTTGCATAGACTAACAAAAAATCAGCAGAAATCAGACATAAAATGCTAATATTCAATCACTTGTTTTACATTCTTTCCAAGTATTAAGTCTAGGTGAAAATTTCAAGTCAAAACCAAAAAGCAACACACTTGATGACAATTCTTTTTCTGCGTTTTATGTCAGTGGTTTCATTTTCAGTTCTTAGAACCTACTACAACTTTCATCTGGTATTTTTTTTGTGTGTGTCTTTTTGAGACAGGGTCTCCCTGTAGCCTCAGCTGGCCTGGAACTCACTATGTAGACCAGGCTGACCTTGAACTCACAGAGATCCACCTGCCTCTGCCTCCCAAGTGCTGAGATTAAGTGTGTGCCACCACACCCAGCTCTCATCAGTTTTTTTTTGTCTTTTTGAGACAGGGTTTTCCTGTAGCCCCAGCTGGCCTGGAACTCACTATGAAGACCAGGCTGGCCTCGAACTCACAGAGATCCATCTGCCTCTGCCTCCCAAGTGCTGGGATTAAAGGCATGCGCCACCAACGGCCGGCTCATCTGTTTTTTAAAATCTGGTAACAGCAATGGCTACAATGCCCAGGGACCACATTAAGTCTTCTTGTAATGGAACCTAAGAATTCTTTTGTGTTCCCCGAAGCAAAGTGTTTTTTTAAGAAAATAAGCACACATCTATTTGCCTCAGCAGTGGCCTGTCTTGAAGGAAGAAGGGGTTGGACAGCACGACCTACTCTCTCTTTTGGCTTTTCTTGTTGCTTCCGTTCAGAATCTTCATCCCGGTCTGGTACATCACTTCAGCTTCCTGCATCTGCCGTCTCTTAGCTGCATCTTCCTCAGCTAAGGTACAATGACACATGCAGTTAAATGGACTTGATTAACACACCATTTATTTATCTAGTACCAAAACTTACTCATTCTTTTAGGTGGTAATGAAAATACAATGAATGATCTTTCACTATTTCCAGATACAAGTCTAGAAACATCCCCTTTAAAAAAAAGTACATAATCTACTGAACTCTTTTTCTTTTATAAAAAGCAAGATCAGGCTGCTTTGGGAGGGTATTTTTGTGCTAGTAATGGTGAAATTATTTTAAAAATAATTTCAGATTAAATGCTAAATTCAGCTAAAATAACAACAGAATGATATTAGAAGTCTGAAAAATATGATTACAGCCAAAAGACACTGTTGCCCTATCTGAAATATTGTATATTTTACAAAAACATGTAATTATACAATTAAACATTTAAAAATTGATTTGTTAAAAACATAGATCCAGATTTAGTGTGCAGTGTTCAAGTAATTAAATCTTGTCTTTTGGAGATGGGGCCTCATGCTGCCTAGACTGGCTTCAAACCTGATGGGTTGCCAAGGATGACCTTGAACTTTTGATCCTCCTGCTCTACCTCCAGAGTGCTAGGATTAAGGCATGTGCCACCAAGCCCAGTTTATGTGGTGTTGCAGATCAAACCCAGGCCTTCATGACATATATTCCACTTTCTAAATATAGAAAAGCCTAATGTATTCAACTGAGGTGGCCAGTCACACCAGCCTACATCTGAAGATGGCCTGTGTCTGATGGTTATCTTCCAGGGACATTCAGAGAGACTACAGAGCCATTACATTAAAAATGTTATCTGGTATTAAATGGTTATGTTCATTTTCTGCTGTTTTTTTATTATAAGAAGGTTTCCCCCCCAACAGCCTACAGAGTCAGCATTTCGATACTGACACTTATTCTTAGGATGGTTAAATATCTAATGGTACCTTAGGATAGACTATTTCACTCAAAACATTTACAAAAGGTTTTAAGTTCTAACCACTATTAACCTTCACCATTCATCTGTTTCCTTTATTAATAATTATATTTTATATTAACTCAGCAGTCTGCCTTAAGGGGTTACATACCACCTGTAAATAAGAAAAAGTGTGAAAAGCTGTCTGAGCCCTGCCTAAAGATAAATGTATTGCCTGCTCCCAGCTCTTCAGTCCTTCTTTAAGGCTATAGTATAGCTAGAAAAAGGCCTTTTGAACACAGCCCCGGACATAAAGCAACAGGACCCACCAGCCCCAGAGCGATACGCACTTTCACAGAAGCCCCACTTCTCATCTGTCCTGTAGTCATAGGTTGTGGCACACCACAGTCTGCCATCTTCCCTCCCATCTGACGTGCACTCATCATACTCCTTATCCAGGAAAAGGAAAGGGAAGTGGCAGGGCTCCCCATGCGCTGTGCCTTCAATGGCAGTCAAGACTGGAAAGAAAGAGACAAAAGTCTAAATAACCAATGCTACCTTTGGTATTTATTTCAGTTAAAAAATCTGAAAGCAAAGATATTTGATGCACAATTTATAATAGGGAACAGAGAAGAGTCATCACTCATCAAGTAGGATGACCTTGAGGTCAAGTCCACTTAGTAAGCCTGACTGACCACTCACACCCAGTGTGAGGTATTTTAAATTTTGATTTATTTATCTATTTTTTTAAAAAAATTATTTATTATTTTTATGTGTATGAGTGTATTGCCTGCACATAGTTAAGTGTACCCATGTTGTGCAGTGCCGGTGGAAGTCAGAGGAGGGTGCCAGATCCCCTGGAATGGGAGTTATAGATGGCTGGGAATCGAATCCAGATCCTCTGCAAGAGCAGCCAGTGCTCTTAACCACTGAGCCATCTCATGGCCCTTATTTATTTTTTGAGAAAGGGCCTCATTATGTATCCCTGGCTGGCCTGGAACTCACTATGTAGACCAGACTGGCCTGGAACTCACTATGTAGACCAGGCTGGCCTGGAACTCAAAAAGACCCATCTGTCTAAAGACTGCTGTGAGTTTAAGGCCAGTTTGTACTAAAATGAGACCCTGTCTCAAAAGCAAAGCCAAACAAAACAAAATAAACAAAACAAAACATGCCCCAAACTGCTACCTAACAAGTGAACAAAAACTAAGGCAAATCCCACTGAATCATCTTGACTGCCCCTGTAGTCGAGCTGTGTTCTCATTCTATCATCTTCTGCATGGGTAAGTCACTTTCAGTAACATAATGCTATACAGGGAAAGGGCTTCCCCAGGTAAAGTTTATTTCTTACACATTCCTCTGTGAACACACAGCATTTTATTGGAGTACTTACCATACATACTGGGGGTTTTACTATTAGTTGTTTTTTTTAAGTGCACTGTAGGTTCTACTAGACTGTATTATATGGTGCCTGTCATGCCAGATTACAAGAGCTCAGGAGATGACAGCTGCTATTATTGCTGACTCCTTTCTTTTCAGTGTAAAAGGACAAGTTTTAATTAATACTAATTTAAAAAATATTTTCAGTAAGCTATGACAGACAAAATGAACTTCAAATAGGTACATCAAGTAGCTGCCATTCATCATCCTGGCAGTCACCAATGAGACAACTCTTCTTCGACTTCACCCGTCCATGTTTTAAGGAAAACTACCATTAGTGCACTGTACAAGTGCAGTGTATGGGCAAGGAATCCTTTAGTAATAACCTTAGGGAGTCAGACTGATTGCAGATTCGAAACAGGTATCCTTATGTATTGTGACTAGAGCCAATCCTGCTTTGCAAGTGTCTGTAGGACTATAGCTTGTGAACTTGAATTTCAAATCAAATGGTGTATGATGGCTCAAGAGAACATTTAATTCATCAAATTTATACTTTCATATGAAAGCATTCTCTGTCTACACTTCTCTTCTTCCCTCCAGTACTGAGGGGTTGAACCCAGGCCCTTATGCATCTCAGGCAAGAGCTCTACCACTGTATAGCCCCAGCTTGATTTCTACTTTTTATATGGAGACATGTTCTCACTAAATTGTCCATGCTGGTCTTGACTCAATCTGTAGCCCAAGAAGCCCTGGACTTGGGAACCTTCTGCCTCAGTCTCTCACTAGCTAGGACTACAGGCCTGTCATTAAGTCAGTTTTCCAGTTCTATATCAACAGCACATTTTCTGGATAAAGAATCATGGCTGGAATCATGGCTGTGACACGTATTACAATATATCTTGACATTAAGAGTAAGGCACTTCCTTATAATATAGGAGAACCCAACGAATGGACCACTTTACACTTAAATTACTAGAAATGTGTTCTCACAAGGTCAATTAACATTATTCAAGAAAGCTAGAAAAAGCTGGGCCATGGTGGCACACACTTTTAATCCCAGCACTCAAGAGGTAGAGGCAGGTGGATCTCTGTGAGTTCAAGGACAGCTTAGTTTACATAGTGAGTTCTAGGCCAGCCAGGACTACATAGTGAGATCCTGTCTCAAAATCAAAGAAAACAAAACAAAAAAAAAAAAACAAAACAAAATAACAACAACAAAAAAAACCAAACCAGCAACAACAACAAAAGAAAGTTAGAAAAAGTTAAAACAAACTGAAAACATCCAGTGCTGTCCAGAGGAAAATAACTGATACTGCTGGCAGGAGTGTATATTACCTGGATCCTCCTCTGAGGGGCATTCAGTAATATTTCTTATAATTTAAAGGTCCTCATCTTTAGATCCAGCTTTTCCATTTCTAGGATTTTACTTATGGAAATGTACCCACAAACACACAAAGCAATTATGTGCAAGACAATACCTGTGCAGTATAATTTTAAAAACAAACCCCCAAAACCTCAAAGATCTGTTGACAGGAGATTGGTTAGATCAACTATGATCAGTCATAAATGAAAACATGGAAATGGCACAGAAGGAATTAAACACCACTGGAGGGTAGGTGCAGACAGGTGAGAGAGGAACCGGCAGCCACGTAAAGAAAGCATCTTCTGAGATGTGAACAACTCTTGGCGATAATGCCCAAGAACTGAGCAGATCTCCAGCAATCAGAGTGGGAAGGGCAGATTTAGTGGTCTGGAGGGGCTTTGAGCCTTCCAGAGTTGGAGAGAACAGGAAGAAGGAAAGTGATTACAAAATTTAAGAATTTTGCTATCAGGGATGTAGAGATGGCTCAGTGGTTGAGAGCACTGGCTGCTCTTGCTGAAGAGCTGGGTTCCGACCCCAGCACCTACATGGTGGTTAACAACCATCCTTAACTCTAGTTCCAGGGGATCCAGTGCTCCCTTCTGGCTTCTGTGAGCATGTACGGGTGTACTTACATGCATGCAGGCAATACACTCATGCACGTAAAATAAAAATAAGTAAAATATTTTTAAAAAAAGAATTTGCTATCGAGGGAGGAAGAAGATGGAGTGGAAGCTGGAGGAGCATTTTGGAGGTAGGTTTGTTTTTAATATGGAAGATATTACATTATGTTTGAATGCTGAAGGAAAGAATCCAAGAAAGAAGAACAATTGTGACTAAAATGCTATTATATATACTGAATCAAATGTCTTGGGAACACAAGCACATTCTTTCTTCATTTTCAATTATATTAAAATAAAACAAAACACAAGTTTTCCTGTGGATATCTATAAACAAATGCAAATAATTTACCTTGCCAAATTTCCCATTTTAAGAACCTTTACGGTGTCATTAAAGACTGATATTATCTGCTGGGCATGGTGGTGCATGCCTTTAATCCCAGCACTCGGAAGGCAGAGGCAAGAGGATCGAGGCCTGCCTGGTCTGGTCTATATAGTGAGTTCCAGGCCAGCTGAGGCTACAGAGAGACCCTGCCTCAAAAAGACCAAAAAAAAAAAAAAAAAAATTCCCCAAAACAAAACAAACAAAACCCAAAACCCCCCGATATCTAAAATTTAGAGGAATGTTCTGTAAAATTAACTACTTATGCTATTTAATTCAAGTAATCATGTACTTCCACAGAGTCTAGCATTCAAATTGAATACATATGCACTTATAAATATAGTTAAGACACAATTTTAACTATATTTTAACTATTTTAACACAATTTTATGTTAAAAAAAAAAATGTCCAGCCACAGGCTGAGAGTTTAATGATTTTATTAAGCACAAAGGTTTAAAAAAAAAAAATCAACCAAGCAGGCAGCCATCACCCTGAAACTCCCCAAAGCAAGCACCAGAACAGATGACTTAGAGGAAGCCGTACTGGATCTGAGTCATACGCAGAAAGAACATGAGTAAGCTCATCTTAGACATAGGGTGTAAAATGGCGGTTTCCAGGGCCTGGGGTAGGCATGGGAATAGATGTTGATCAAAGGATACATAATAACAGACAGAAGGAATAAGCTTCAAGAGATCTATTGCAGCTATAGTCAATGATGATTGTACCATATTATCCTGGAAACTGTAAGAGTGGTGTCTTTACAAAAATAACTGTGGTAACACATTTGTTAGAAACTAGATTGAGCCACTGCATAATGCAGTGCTCAGGAACTTCAAAGCTTCATGCTACATGTGATTAAAACATGCAATGATAACTGTTGATTTAAAAATTAAAAGTCAAAAATAATAGAAATAAAGTAAGCAGTAGGGGCCAAGTCAAGATGAATTTGTTGCTGCTGGTGCCTGCCACAGTAACATTTAGAGAGGACACACAGGTTAGGTGACTGGCTACCAGCGACTGCTTTCATTAATAGTTGAGAGCTGCTGTATATAGCTGAGAACTTGCATTTGAAACAAGACACCATGCTAACGAAGGTATCACATCACAGACTAAAATGCATTTGTCAGAGGAAGCATGAAACGTAGCCATATGGGCAATGAGCAAAAAAGATTGAGAGTTCACACAAAGCCCAGCTCTCCATGAGAAGTAACATTTTAAAGTAGAGCCAGAACAAAACATGTGCCCAATACAACGTGACAAACTTCATGACAACCCAGTGACATCACTGCAAGTAAAACTTGCCCAGAACAACTGCTATTTAAGAACAATTAGCTCCTTTACATAATAACTTTAAAGGTAGTTTTAGAGTCTCAGAGGCCCTGGTAAGGATGGGCATGGTGCTTTTACATAGAGATTGCCCCCTAAAGGCATTTCCTCGCACAAATAATTTCTCATGAAACCAAACCAAGTTAATATGAACTGAAGTTCCTTTGAGAAGCCACACCTATGCCGAAGATTTTGCAGACAGGAAACTGATTCCATGCCTTCCACAGCCTGCACTGTAAGCCTCACCAGACCTTGGAATGGACCCACTGTTCCTGCTCCACTGGTGGCTCCTGCATGTGTGCTGGCTCTCAAGGCTGCACAGAATGCAGGTGTACTCCCTTCAAGAGCTGGTGCTCCCGATGATCAGCCAGCTGTTCCCAGGGTGCCCAGGGCTGTGTGTGCAGAGACTGTGCCTGAGTGGGGAACAGCCCTGCTCCCACATGTGAAGTG